TACAACAAGAAAGTCAAACGAAGAAGTTTCGCCCCGGGAGACTTGGTATTAAAAAGGGTCACTCAAAGCACTAAACCTAAAAGTACTGACCCTCTAAGCCCAACATGGGAGGAACCCTACCGCATAAGAGAAATGTTACGCCCAAGAACCTACATTTTGAAAAGCCTCGCCGGCAAGTAGATTCAACATCCATGGAATGCATAGTAACTAAAATTGTACTGCCAATAATGTATGAACTCATACACATTTTAGCTGTATTGCTTTGACATTTCGATAGAATAAATGAAAGCTTATTCATAACAAAACGTTTTCAAGGAGACCACGAAAAGATCGACCCCTTAACATGTCTGCCTAAAAATTAAGGTTTTCAGACAGACATGGGCAGGAGGGGTCTACGAACCACAAAAACAAAAAAAAAACAAAAAAACCATGTTAAACGTCGACTTTTCCAAGGAGAATAGATGATAACTTGGCATATTTTAAAGAGTCTACCAGTGTTAACCCTAAGGGGCATTTAAACACGTTAAACGTCTTCTCTAAGGAGAAGAGGCGATCACTTGGCAGATTTTAAAGAATCTACCGGTGTTAACCCTAAGGGGCATCTAAAACGTCGACCTCTCCAAGGAGAAGAAACGATCACTTGGCAGATTTTTTAAGGAATCTACTAAAGCAATAACCCTAAGGGGTATTTAAAACGCCGACATCTCTAAAGAGAAGAGGCAATGACTTGGCAGATTTTAAGAAATCTACTAAAATACAAGCCCTAAAGGGTACTAAAGACAGAGAGAAGATCAAAAAATAAAGGCAATAGTGTATTATATTAATAACGAAAATATACAAACTGGTGGGCTAAGAACCCATTGTCTCAAAAAAAAACAAAAACAAAAACAAAAATATACAAGGAGAAGGCTCTCAATCCTCGCCACCACCAGCTGAACCATCTCCATTGCTAGGCTGAGAAGAGCCATCGCCGTCGACAGGAGGAGGAGGAACATACAGGAAGCTTAAGTCCCCCTCGGAGTGATGCTGTTTGATCTACTCCACTATCTGTGCCCCGGCGGACTAAAGATCTTTGGTTCGGATTTCAATAAGCTCCTCAGAAGCCATGAACTCGTCGACTATTTCCTGGCGGCGAAGTCTTCCGAGTCCAGGTATTTCTCAGCCGCTGCGAGCTCGGCTTCTCTCTTCCCCCTCTCGTAGCCTTCAGTCTTCCCCTCAGAGAGGTACTTTTCCTTGGCCTCGGCCACCTCTGTGCGTTTGGTAGCCTCTTCGGCCTGAGCCTTTAATCGGTCCAGTTCCTCCTGAAAGCTCGCCAGTTTTGCCATGGCCACGTCCTTCTCCTCGGTAAGAGTCGAGCATTTGGACTTTTCAGCGTCGAGGAAAGATGTAAGGCCCGCCTCTATGCGGTCCATCTCGTTGCTACATTCCTCAACCTTGACCAAGTCTATAAGGTTGAGGACGGAGAGGTCAAGACCCTAAGAATAGAAAATCATAAGTTAAAAAATGAAAGGCGAGAATACATTAGATAGAAAATAAGTGGCCGGCGCTTACGTGGATCTAGAAGGATATTTGCTTGCGCTGACGGTCGACCAGAGATGATCGGGTGGCGGCAACCCAATGCTTGTAAAAAATTGACTCGTAAAGGGCCTGAAAAACTAAGGAAAAGCGAGAAGGAAGATCAAGCATCGCCTCAACCTAGGCGTTAGAGACATCCTGGACCTGGAAGTTTGGGTCCATAACCTTTGCCACTGGACGTAGGAGGCGATCCTTAGGTGGAGGAGGAACCTCGGCCACATCGGGAATGGGAACCACCGGCGTCCAAGTTCCCCCGGTCACCCGCACCTCCTCCTGGCAGACCCTCTTTGGCACGGATGTCCTTGACGTAGACCCAGAGGCACCTCAGAAGGCCTCTTCTTCGGGGCCGAAGAGGAAGTGCCAGCGTTGGCCTTCCCCTTTGACTTGAATCGACCGCTGGAGGTTTAGAGAAGCCATTTCTGCACACGAACAAAAGTTAGTAAAAAAACAAAAACAAGAAGAAAGAAGGGAAAAAAGGTGTCAACTTGGCATCATATCAAGTAGGAGGTCGAGTCCAAAAGATTTACTTTCTGCGTTGAGGTGAAAGAATTCTCGGGCGGCTTGGAGATTTGTAGGATCAGGAAGCGAAATCAGCAGCCTTGATTCTCTGAGGTTGGCTTCGGTTAGAAGAACATTAATGTGGCATTCGTTCTTGGGAATATCAAAGGCTGCAAGAACTCTCGCCCGCCTGTTTCCAATTAGCTTCGGCCAGTCGTGAGTGACTACACATTGAGGTAATTGTCAACGTTATAGAAAAGGAAGAGAAAAGAGATGAAAATTTTTTACTACACATCGTTCTCACTTAATCTCCCAAACGACGTTTGCACTCTCTGGCGTTGTGGCATACGGTCATCGGGGTGAAAATTAAAATGTCTCCTGACCATGAAAAACATGGGTTTCCAGCCGTGAGAAGAAGAGGGAATGCCCTGGATCAAGTTTTCTAAAACGGGCTTCGATCACCCATGACTACCCAAAAAGAACCACTCTTCGCACTTTGCAACATGGTTTAACTTATATATGTACAAAAACTCATCCAGGGGCAACTCCACATTGAACCGCTGGTTCCACAAAATCCACGCACCGGCGAAGCAATACCAAAAGTTCGACGCTAGTTGGGCAGGGGAGATGCCATGGTAATGACAAAAATCATTCACAAAGGAATGGACTGGTAATGTCATCCCTGCGGTAAAGGCCCGGGTATATACTGAAAGATACCCGGGAGATGGAAGGCTAGACCTAAAGTTCTCGTTCGGCTAGACCTAAAGGCCCGTGTCCTCGGCGCTGTCACGTCGGCAGTAAATGAAGGCCTGTCCGGGTCCCCACTCATGACGACTAAAATGGCGTCGACAAAGGAGGCGGCGACAACATGCAGTGTTCCCCCTTCCAGAGGAATTTCACTGCTGTCATCTCCTTCAACCATGCGGTCGATGCTGTTAGCATCGTCCCTTGGATCGGCCGCATAGTCGTCAACCTCCCTCAAGATGGAGTCATCGCCCGATGAAGAAGACGTCCACGAAGGTTTGGCGGCGGAAGGAGAGTCCAGCCTCACAGTGGATGAAGAAGGACACTCTCGACGATTAGATGGTTTGGGAGCCATTCTTCTAGTATAACAAAAAGAGAAGGATAATATGAGGAGCTAAGTTAAAATCCTAAGTCGAGAGGGTAAGGAGAAACAAGAAAACGACAATCGACCGCCAGTGGCTGGCGGAGGCATGCGAGTGCCGACGGCTCATCAAGCCGTCGATCATTCACAAGAAAAAAGAACGACAAACGTTCAAGTGGAACCCAGATTTTCCAGCCAAACACCCCGAACTCAGAACCTCAAACTCTCTACAATCGGCCAGAAACCGAAAAAACTAGCCTATAAGAGTCCAGATATACGCGAAGTAAGTTTCTAACTTCCGAATGTCTATTTCAAGCCTAAAGCATGCAACAATCCAGCAGGAACCAAGCAAGGAAAGCAGAAAATGCACAGAAAGAACTACACAAAAACGCGATTGCAATGAGAAGACTTACCGGAGGCTTGAAAGATGGTAAAATCTGAAGCTTGACTGGAGAGAACTTCGCAAAACACCGAAGAAAACGAGAGAAATGAAATGGAGGGTTCTGGGAAAATCTGGGCAGAGTAACAGCAGTTTTCAGATATTTGGATGGAAATGGCTTTGGTTTGAAACGGACTTATAAAGGGGAACAAACCCTCGACCCCTGGCCGTTGGATGGAATCCTAGTGAATCAAATCGCATGGGCGAACAATTAAGATCGAACGGTAGAGACAAGGTCGGGAGAATGGAAGGACGCGATCGGACGGTTCAGAAATCCCTATTCAAAATGGGAAACGTCAGCGAAATGATAAACTGAATCGACGTGACTGTTAGCCTTCCCAAGAAGCCACCTTAATGTCAGTCATTATTGCCTAGGGGTGCCAGACTGGCACCACCTGTGACAGGTCATCAAACGTGCAAAGGCTCCAAGCATGGGTTGTCTGTGAAGGTCGACGCCACCTGAGAGGTAACCTCGACCTGGGGGGCAAATGTTATAGGGTAAAACCTTAAACCCCACACGAGGCAATGGCTGGGCGCCACATGGCGCGATTAAAGCATAAAATAATCAAGACATAAAGATACGGGGTGGTAGTAGAGTGCACTTGATGAACGTCGTCACTTAACGGTCAAACAATCCCGCTAAAGGGGTCTGACTAGAAGGAACAAAGGCAACACCACGGAGACGAACGCTTCACTGGCCGTGAACGAAGATCGCTTCCCAAAAAGCTGAAGACGACGAACCCACCCACGTTCAGACTGAAGTACAACTGTACCAAGATTTGACGTGCATTAAATGCATGCAGAGTAGGTGGTGAAGCCGGTGGAGAAATTCAGGCAGACTGGCTAAAATCTCGGTAATCAGAGACTACTATTCCGAAGTATGGTGAAGATATCACGGGATTTGATTAGATAATTGATAATTGGCAGAAACGACGTGATGTATATATGCAGGAAGAATGGGCTGAGGGGGGTTCAGACTCTTGAACACCTCTTTCCCCAGAATTTGTGTTTTTCTACTTATAATAGTGAAAAACTCACAGTAAACGTAGCTCTATATTGGAGTGAACCACTATAAATCTTCTGTGTTGATTTTGTTTCTTTTCTTCTTATTTTACGTTTAGAGTCATTTAATCCGTGCACAAATTACAAAAACTTATTATTAATCTGTTGACCAGTTTTAACCGTCAACGCTATCCAAAAACTTTAATAGGCAAAGAGCCTCACACATTTCCTCAAACCACCAAACTACTCCACCGACACTCGAAGACAAATTAATATATATATATATATATATATGTAGACACACACACACATGAAAAATAAAACTATAAATTTGAAAATTAGAGAAAAAAAAAAAAAACAGAACAAAACAAAAAAACCTGCCTTGAAGTTTAACGGGAGGATAGATTTCAAGAGCTTGTAGCAGTCTAAGCTCCAATTCAACCTGAGACTGCTCCTAATTAACCAAAAAACAAAGAATTTTTTTTTAAAATTAATTAATTCAAGCGTAATTATACATACATGTGTGTGTGTGTGTGTATATATATATTTACATACACAGAGAGAGAAAGATAGACCTTGGGGAGAGAAGAAGCAGAAGAAGGAGGAGCTTTGCACGGAGAATGTGCGGACATTCCGTCTTGTTCCTCGTCTCTTGCTTTAGCACCACTCCCCATTTGTGTTTCGCATATAAAATAGATTCGTTTTCCTTCCTACTCTTTTTTTTCTCTTTTGCTTTTACTAGGAAAGTTCTCTGATTCTGTTGCCGTAAAATGTTTTCAGATAATTCCGGATTCAACAGGAATTTGGGGTCAATTTTCCTTCTGATTTTCCTCGCTAGGGTTTTTGCTCTTTGAATTCCAGAGGGACAGGATTGGGCTTTTTCTAAGCAGTCAATTTTAGGCTTGGGCTTTTATTACTCTGCCACCCCAAGTTTACAGATAATTAGGCCCACTGTTACTTTTACTTGCCACTATTTACGGGGTTAATAACACATATGGCCGAATTACAATCCTGGGATTGAAATATGGTTTAGGTTTGTAAATATTTCATACATGGTCTAATTTTATAATAATATTTAAATAACATTATAATTATTTTATTGACCTTATCGTGATATATGTATACTTTTTCTCACGTAATCAAGATGTTGTTCTTTTTTTTCCTCCGTTTTATGAGATACCTATCTTTTTCAAAAAAAGTCTCTCAAAAACAAAAAAAATTGAGATATCATTAAATCATAAATTAATCAATTTAAAACATATTCCTGACAATAGTAATATCTTTAAGTTTTAAAATTTTTTTACATAATCTGATTTCTTTAAATCTCTATCAATATAAACTTCTAACGAACTGTTAAGTTTTATAAAAAACCACATTGGATGATGAAAATATTAACATAAAGAGAAGGCATTTAATGTAATGACGACTTAAAAATTAACAATACAACTTTATCAACGTAATCAATGCAAGTATAGTAATTTTGAACAAAACCATCATTAAAAAACTAGTAACAAAAGGCTGTTTCATCAAGATAATTACAATATCATTAAATAAATGACAATTTAGTTATGAAATAGATAGAAAACGACTCTATTGCAAATGTTAGAGCGTATCAAGATTATATCATTACATGAAATAATTTAGATGAAAATTTGAAAAACATTTAAAACATATATGTTTAAACCAAACAAAAACAACACTCCAGCAAATGCTAGAGCATTTCATTAAGGTAAAGAATATATCATCATATACAACACATTAATACTTTTAATGACAATATCCAACATGAAGATTTTGAGGTAATATGTTTTTAGGGAGGTAATGTATTAAAGAAGATTGCAAGGAGTCAAAAAGAGATAACAATACATATCGCATATGATGCATAGATGAAATAGATTGTTAATTTAAATTTACAAAATTTGCAAAGAATACTGTTTTTCACATGCAAAAGTTTAATTTAAAATCTAAACGAATTAAGTGTAATTGAGTTATGTGAAGTATTTACCAATAAAAATACAACAAAATCAATTGAAAGGTAATTTTGGAGTGATGAAAGATATAATTCAAAAAAACCAGCCATATAAGTAAGTGGGATCTTCTCCAATACACCTCCCTTTTTGATACTACTGATAGTTCTTGTAAAAAAAACGTTTACTCCGCTTTAATTGGCTCTAAAATTGCGAGTATATTGTCTAATGATGCACAGACGCGTATCTTATAATGCCAAATGTAAACAACCACATGTACGTGGGCTATTCTTACGGCCTTACGTGGTGGGCCCCATATTTTTTAAATATTTGTAGATTGAAAAAAAAGTTTAATTAAAAATAAGGGAGATTTTTTAGTATACTACCAGTAGATCATGTTCTTTTAACTGTTAGATCTATAAATTTTTTGACTTTTACGTAATTTTATATAGATTTAACGAATAAAAAATTTAACCTATTAATATATTGACGTACCGAAAAAAATCTTAAAAATAAATAGAAAACAATACGGTCAAAAGAGATTCTTCTTCTTCTTTAAAGGTTAAGAGCTACGCCATGAATTCTCCAAAAAAAAAAAAAAAAAAGGAAAGGAACCATGAAATTGGACCCCAAAACTTTTAAAAACAAAGGCAAAGGAAATTCTTAATTCCTTATTGCAAATATATGTTAATTTACCAATTATTTCAAAAGTTTAAGCTATTAGGAGGTTGACCAATAATAGTTTTATACTTTAATATTCTCCCTCACGTATGGGCTGAACAATAGACAATCATGTGGGTAATTAATTGGAAAGCATGATGACAATTTAAATGGATGATAAAGAGTGTAATTACGGGAGTTTGAACTCATGACCTTACGTGTGGGCTGAATAATGGGCAATCGTGTGGGTAATAATTAATTGGAAAGCCTGATGACAATTTAAATTGAGGATAAATAGTACAATTACGAGGGTTTGAACTAATGACATCACGCTCTGATACTATGTTTACCAATCATGTTGAAACAAAGAGCAAAAAAAATGAAGAACAAAAATAACACAAAGATTTTAACGTGTTCGGCAATTTTATCTATGTCCACAGATCAAAAATACACTCATTTTCTCATTTTCTGATAATTTTACAAACAATTATACATGAGTATATATAAGGATGAATTCTAAGAATATAATCTATGAATCAATCAATCATGATAAATTAGGCTACCAATTAGGCAACTAATTAATCCCCCATAATTAACCCACAAAATATGTTTACACCTATATTACAACCAATCACTCTAAAAATGGAAAGGAGCATTAAGAACTAATTACACAATCAACTCAATATTCTGACACTCATTCTCAAATTGTGCATACCAACTTGGAAATAAAGCTTCAATGAGGAAACAAATCCTCTAAATTCAAAAACAATCATCGGATTCTAACATCAAGGTGGTGCAAATCT